CTGGGGTGGGGGGGGCTGAGGCAGGTCCTGGGCCACCCCTCAGTGCCCTTCCTCCTGCAGCCCACTGTGCCCCGCCGGATGCCCCCAGCCCAGCCGGCTGTGCAAGGCAGCCATGCTGAGCTACTTCCGGCATGCAGCCATGATGCTCAGCCGACCCCATCTTCTGGCGCTGCCCACCTACCGCCAAGCCAAGGTCAGCCCAGGAGCAGGGCTATAGGCAGTGTCAGGATACCTGGGTCCCATCCCCAGCCTCGGGAAGGGAGCAGATGCGATGGCTGGGGGAGGTGGTGCCAGGACCCTGGGTCCCATCAAGACCTGGGGTGGGGGTGGGGCGGGAGGGGGCTGGGAGCAAGGACCCCTGGGTTCCATCCCCAACAAGGCTCCTACCTGTCTGCGATGTCTGTTCCTCCTTCCCATGCCTCAGTTTCCCCCCCTTCTTGTTTTCTGTCCCTGTCAGTTTACCCTCCATTATGCCCAGGCCATTAACCCCTTGTTTACCTCTCTCTCCCTCCCTTTCAGGACCATGCTGAGGCCTATCAGAGCGCCAAAGCCCAGTTCAGCGCCCACCTGGCCCGCAGCAGCCTGGGCAACTGGCCCCAGAAGCAGCTGGTGGACAATTTCCCCTCGTAGCCACTGGCGATGGGGTGGGAGGGCAGCAAAGCCTCATGGGAAGCAGGGGGAGTTCACTCGTTGTTGTGTGGGGGTGCAGGGGGGGGTCTGCTTACGCTGGGGGAGAGGAGGATTCTCCCCCTGTGCCTGGTGGGGGGAGATGGGCAGGTTGGGGGGCGGAGCCTCCAGGATTTGGAGGCGGGGTTTGTCCCCCCAGTAAGGGTTAATGCTGGTTAGTTTGGGGTGAATTGAGCATTAAAGCAGCCTGTTGTGCACAGCCCCTGGTGCTTGGAGAAGTGCTGTTCCCTGCACTGCCAGCTGCTCCCCTAGTTCCCGTCAGCCCCACAAGACTGAGGCCACGCCCCTTACTCCCTACCATGCTTCTTTTGCCCCACTCGAGGGCAAAATATCCACACCCCCACCCCAGTATTGCTCTCCTGCCTCTGAGCAGAATGGACCCTGTCCTGGGCTCACGGGGTTAATTCTCCCACCCCATACAGTTGCCCCACAATGGGTCCAGCCTGCTGCAGGGTGGGGAAACTGAGGCGGGAGGTAGTCTGCAGAGTGGGGAAGCAGCATGGTGTGGGCAAGATGCTATGGTGGGTCCCGTCCAGCCAGCAAGTCCTGGTTTGGGGGGTCCTCCAGCCTGATCCTACCTGTCCAGCAAGGATCCTGGCTCTGAACAACCCCCATCCTGGCTGTGGGTCCCGGCCACTGCCTCTCAGCAGCAACAAGCCCTGTCCCCCAGCACCCTCAGCTGTGCCTGCCCTGCCCCAGGGAGGGAAGTGGGGGCAGGGGGTGGTGGCGGTCACAGCACTCCCTAGTGGTTGCCAGTGTGGGGACGGGTGCACTAGGCAGGGAACCCGAATACCTGGGTTTGGATCCCCGCTCTCTCCTATGAACGCCACTCTCTCTCTCAGCACCTTCAGTCACTGTCCCTTAGCTGCTGTGTCTGTCTAGGTATTCTGATGACTCCTGGACTGGTTGGTCTTTCTCTGCCTTCTAGTACTGTTCCTAACCCTGGATCTGTCTATCTGTCTATACCTACCCCATGCTATCTGTCTATCCTTAACCCCACAATGTCTGTCTGTCTATCCCTAAGCCCCCTGCAGCTGTCTCTGTTGCCAAAGCCCTCTTGAATTTCTCTGTTCCTGTTTCTCTGTCTTTCTGTTGCTATCCCTGACCCCCTGCGTCTGTCTGTGTATCTGTCTATCACCACTACCCTTCCCTCCTACCCCACACCCAGCCTCTGTCTCTATATTGTAAACCTCATCTCTCGCTGTCTCACACCCAATTTCCCTACCTATTCACTCCATACTATCTACTTCTATTCCACCCCACATCCATGTATCTCCCTATCTGTCTGTCTACCTATGTATCCCAAATCCCCCTTTATCCATTCATCTACCTATTTTCTATTTCTAGGCCCCCCCATACCTATCCCACTCTCTATACCCAAGCCCCTTTTTGTCTGTCTGTTCACACACCCCACACTGAGTCTTTCTAACTCAATCTCTATCCCACACTACATCTCCATCTGTCTCTATTCCACAGCCATCCTGTCTGTCTGCCTGGTCAGTGCACCCTGTACCCCAAACATCTCCCTATCTATCTCTGTATTGTTTGAGCAACCAAAAAAGGATGAGGGACCTGAGCAGCTGCCAGCCCAGGAGAGACTAAAAAGGCCGGGGCTCTACAGTTTGGACAGGGGAAAGCGGAGGGGGATAGGACAGAGATCTATAACATCACAAAGGCTGTGGACCAAGGGACCAGAGAAGTGTTGTTTGCCAAGTCCCAGGATGATGCTAGAACCAGGGGGCGCCTGCTGAAGTGAGCAGGAGACAGGATTAGAGCTAACGAGAGAAAGGACTTTTTAATCCACACGGCGTTATTGTGTGGGGTCCATGGCCACAGGAGGGGTTGGAGGCAGAGGTAGGGTCCATGCTGGGCTGGATACATTCACAGAGGAGTGATCTGTTCATGGCTGTTGGTGAAGATGTTTCCTTGAGCATCCCTACCCCAATGATGGTGGCTCTGGTGGGAGTGGGGGGTGTTGAATAGTGGAGGGACCACGAGAGATTTGGTTCAGTGCTGTTCCTCCATAGCATCCAGCCCTGCTGCTATCAGAGGTGGGATCCTGGCCTGGACAGGCCATAGGACTGGCCCGGTCTGGCCCTGCTGATGTAGTCATGTACCCATTCACTCCATGCTGGTTGTCCTTCCATCTGGCTATCCCTAAGCCCAGACCAATTTTTCCAAGCAATTTTTCCAAGCTTGTTAAAAGTGGAATAGTTCAGGGATAGAATTAAGGTTGGGAATCGGGAACTGATTTAATGGAAATGATCCAACTGGCCTGTTAGCAGGCCAGTCGTTAGCGTGAAGTTAGGAGACTGCTGGGATGCTGGCCAGCCAAGGCTCTCCAACAGCGGCTGCCCTAGCTAGGGAGAGAAGTCGGTGTTCCCTGGATACAATGGCTGCTCTGTCTGTCTGTCTACCCACCCACCTGTCTGTCTACCTCCCCATCAACTTATCAGTTAATTGAATCTAGCTACCTATCATCTCTCCATCCTTCTCTGTCTCTCTAATCTCCCCATCTCTTCCTATCCCCCATTCTTCCCCAGAGGTGCTGCCTGCAGCCCAGGCTGGGGATGGTGACTGGGCTGTGCCAGTGCTTTTGCTGGGATTCAGCCTCAGAGGGTCCTGGCTGGAGGGTCTTGCCCCAATGCTCAGCAGACTGATGCAGCACGTGGAGTAAGGAAGGAAGTTGACCCCCTGGTCAGATTGGTACAGACCTGGGGGAGGTGGAGGGAGGGTTGTCTTCCTCTGCAGCGGGGGCACGGCCTCTGCCCTGGATCTCTGAAGATTGTATTAATAACTTTGTGGCTGCCCTGGTTACCCTGCTTTCCTGGGGACGGGTTCAGTTTGACGTCTTGGGCTGTGTCCGGGCTGACGCTTGTTCTACTAAGAGGCTCAATGATGAATTTGTCTGGGCTGGTTTGAGCAGGGCTGACCTCAGGCAGGGGTTGGATTAGATGCGACCTCTGCAGGTCCCTGCCAACCCCTCTGGGATTTCTGAGCTGAACAGTTTCCTGGGCCCCTGGTCTCTTAGCAAAGCTTCATCCTTTTCCCAGAGACACCTGCATTAGGGTCTACACATCAATGCACCATCTGCCCCCTCCTCATCCCTTGATAATCCTAGTTCCAATGAACAGCCCCTCTTTCACCTGTTTCCAGTGATGTCTTCCCCTCACCCCCAGACTTGAGGGGTATGCTGTTCTTTGCTCACTCGCATGTGCTCTAGACTGGAAGCCAGGGTTAGAGCAGGGAATAGGCTTCATACTGGTGCCCCACTTTGCAGGGCAGGGCTAGTTTTCCCCCCCCACCCCAGATGCTCCCTCCTGGGTCTCTGGGGATCCCCATGGCCCCCGTAGCCAGCCCACCCCAACCCTGAAGCCCACGAGTCAATGGGGCCGCAGGGCAGCCTGCCAAAAGCCCCTGTTGGAGCCATGTAATAGGACCTAAACCATCCCAGCCAGACACCCAGACAGCTTTTTCCTGAAACCCTCCAAAGAGGGAGATGCTACAGCTACAGCTCTCAGCAGCTTGTTCCACTCGCCTGCTGCTTTCACCATGGCGGGGGGTCTCTTGAGATTTGGTCTAAGGTTTCTTGCTGTGTTCAAACCCAACATGGCAGGAAGAGAAACAAGTCCTACAAAGGCACTGCATCAGGCCGGATAATTTCTTGCATCATGGGGTAGAAAGAGACATCATCAAATGGGGCGGCATCATCTGTGCTGAGATGTGTCCTGGCACAGCTAATTTGCTTCAGCAGAAGAAATGTGTGTTGCCTGTTGTCCTGGTTCATGCTGTGAATCAGCAGGTGATCTATTCTGACGCTTGAGAGGCCCCATCCTGCACGCCCCAGGAACTCCCACGCAGGATCAGGCCCCTCTAGCCCTGGAAGTGTGTACCCAGCTTTGCCCAGGTATTAAAAAGCTCCATCAAAATGTTTATGGTGGCACAAAGGCAAACAGGCAGCATCTGTTTCTATCCTAAGAGACAAAGAGCGACTGACTTCAGGCCAGGAGTCCTGGGGTATTCTCTGCTAGCTTCAGGGCAGGAGCCTTGGTGTGTTAGCTTTCTTCCCCCACCGGATTAGCCCACGGGCTGGATTGTTTATTAAGTAGTGCCTATATTCAGGCTGTTGTAATCTAGTGGTCCAAATGCTACTTTTTTGCTGAGTTTCCCCATTGCTTTCAACTTCATTTCATGTTTCTATCCTGGCTGCAAACCTGTCTTCTATCCTTGTGGCTGCAAGCTTGGGTTCTCTTGCCAAAGTCCTAATTATCTGTCTGCTTCTGGAGAGGAGAAAGAGATGCACCTTAAAGAAAGGTACACATGAAAAAGGCTAGATAGAACAAGTGTAAATCCCTGAGTCTTCACAATAAGGTAAGGGGATAAACAGCATCTAAAAGAGAAAAACTGAGAGACATTACTTGTACGTGTAACCTGTAGGAGCCAGCCGTTAGACAGATTTCTTTTCTTCATAAATGCAGTGTGCCTGATGTCATCTGAATCCTTTTCATATCTAGTTTTATTTTTTGTCTGGGTACATTGAAATTGTTATGCATCACAATGAATTGGTCAATGGCAATATATCAAGAGCTAAAACTGGGAAAAATATTGTGAGAATCAGTTCTATTCTCAAGGGCGGGGGTTGTAAATGTGAGGTCACATTATGTAGAGTTTATTTTAAGGAAAAGTAAAATTCCCAGTTCTGTATTGCTTCTTAATTGTTAGGCTTGAGGTCTTGATTAGACTCCAAGCACCCCTTGGAAAATGCCAGCTTTAGCTGTCACTAGTTTTCTGACTATGGAAAAAATAGTAGAGTGACTCTTTTGTTGTGAAGAATTCGGAAAGCCCACAACCGGACAGTGTTTTTGGCACTCGATTCCTGTTTGGAATTCCAGAATTGTGTGTAGATCTTTGTATACCTAATGGTGCTAATATTGTGATATGCCCTTGAAGGATCATGGGGCACCTGGGTTGAGAATCACTGCTTTAAACATACTTTTCACATGCAGTTCAAAAATGGAGAGATGGCATTTGTCTCAGCAGCAGAAGACAATAGTAAAAGTTCTTTAAGCCTAAAGCAGCCCTTTTAATAGTTTCATCCTGTGCTGTGTACCCCATTTCATTAATCTGACCTCAAAATATGAAGCAAGCAATTGATCTGCACATGGAGCTCTTCCCAGCACTGGCGCACTGGAACTTGCACCGCTACCCCCAGCATCGTAGCAGTAATCATTGATGGAGCTAAGCATAAGGTACAAGCTTTGTACAAGGTGAACTCTGCCCACCTGTCCATGCACGTTATTATCCATCTTTTTTCCTAGGCATCGGCACAAGGTTTATTTAG